TTGTAAAAAAATTTTTTTATGTGTTTCACACCGTGTGTAAAATCAATTGTGTAACATCAACGTTTCCTCCTGTTGGAAGAACATCGATTGCATTAATGCCCACCATCATCTGAAGCTCTAAAAAAAGCATCTTTTTGATATCGACTATGATCTGAAAGAACATAAATTACACTAATGTCTGCCGTCATTTGAAGGTCTAAAAAAGCATTTATGTAACATTTATTTAGAACTTCGGCGTTTATTGAAGCCGATTTTTTAAAAAAGTTTAGAATTCTGTACTATATAAATTAATATTCTTGTAGTTTGTACAATTTTAATTCAAAAACTACAAGTTTTGAAGTCAAATATCTCCAAATATACTCATACTTATGTTTATTATTACATATTTTATTAAGTCATTGCATTTTTCAAACAACTGTAAAAATAGCAATTAATTGGGTTCAAATAGTTGCAATTAATTGCCTTCACAATCAATTATTCGGTAGGCCTGATTCTAAAGAGAAACTTGATTAATAAATAATGATCAGATTTAAAATGAACAGCAAGCATAAATTAAATTGTTCAAATTATATTGAATTATTAAGCATACAAAATCTACATGTAACAAACTCAATAATATAAAATTAAAAATTTCAAAGTTCGTTATATTCAAAGAAACCCGTAATTGGATTTATTAAAAACATGCACACGAGTTAAATAACGAAAAGAACCAGTAACCAAATACGGCTTACCTTTGTTAGAATGAACTTTTGATATAATAGAATTAATTATATAATATTTTCGAGCCTATAGGTTTCACTATAGCGTGAATATGTTGTTTTCTTGTATTTCTACATATGAGCCACCTTTATTTTTTGTTGGCATCTGAATAACAACATATATACACAGTTAACTTTCGTATAATGAACTGACAGATGTTATTATAGAAGTAGGTTACTATTCCGATGCCGGGCTCTAATAAATATTTTTTAAAAAAGTTTATTATATTGTTATAGAGCATAGATGAGTTCATTATAAAAAGGTTCGTTGCAAGAATGATTGCATTGGCCCTCCATTAATGATGACGCTGGATTTGCTGACCTGATTTTTCTAACGTCATGTTTGCATAAATTTGCACCGATCATCGCTGATTGTAGCCAATAAAATCTCAAGATCTCGTGTAACTTAAAAAAAAATCGAAAACAGAAAAATCTAAATTATACTATGATAACCACAGTTTGACTTCTAAATAAAAGTTTTCAGCACGAAATTTTAGTTATATGAGAACATTTTTAAATATCGAATATTAAGTAAATTAAAGCCTGCGCTAAATTCTGATCTTTGTGCTCTTTTGATTTGGTAATCGACATAACCTGTCACAGATTCAGTACGTGCCATAAATTTTATTGTACACAATATATTACTTAATATTCAGTTGTGACCTAATCATTTGATTCCTATCTAAAGTAGTATAGTATGAGGTGCGAATGGAGTTGAGTAGGTTAAAATTTATTATTATATTCACATGTATAGTAAAACCCCTATACTGATCATACTTATGTGTAGTATACCGATCATACTTATATGTAGTAAAACTATTGTACTGATCATACTTATATGTATATAACGATAAATCTGATAATAAAATATTGATTATTCGAATGATATGTATTAAAATAAAATATTTGTAATAATAGAATAATTTTAGATTACATATGTATTATGATGAAAAATTGATTAATTAACGGTATTAAATAAAATGTATTATGACGAAAAATTGATTAATTAATGATATTAAATAAAATGTTCACGTTAGTTTGATAGGATTCTCTTCTTACTTACAATTCTGAAACTTTTAATAGGTAAAACATACTGTTTAAAGAATATGGTTTGAATTTTGGGAATTTTTATTGAATAAAAATAATATACTTTTTAGAATATCTAAGATGGATAATTTTATTCAAGTTATTGATGGAATTGAAACTATTTATGAAGAGGATCTTGAACATCTTGAGCGTCTTGATAGTTATGAGACTGTTGATGTAAATAATAATCTATAATTTTTTTTTAAAAAAAAAATTCAATAAATTTAATTAAAATAATTAATTAATAGAGCTTAATTTCGGATGAGGAATCTGATGATATTGAATATGATTCAGCAACTACATATGAAATAACTGATGAAAATACAGTAATTTATTTTACAAAAGAATTAACATCTCATATTGTTAATCATGTATTAACACCTATTGAGTATCCTGCAACAAGTCCGGAAGGTGTTGCATATATATTCAATGTTGAAGGTTGGGAAGAGTCATTAGCTGTATTTAAAGATGTAGGTAATATAATTCAAAATTTTTAATTAATTTTAATATTTTAATATATTGTATATTTATTAATATATTTAGATCCAATATTCAATTGGTAAACCTGGAGGTGAATATAAGGTCATGTGTCCTTATCTTAATGTTGAAGTAAAACGTGAAATGCATACTTGTCAAGGCTCAAAATTATGTGAATTTTCTGTTGATGAGCTTCAAAATAAAACACATCAAAGTATGGATATTGATTCAGATCTTATGACACATATTACACAAGAAATTTCACCTAATAATTTAGATAATAATACTTTTGAGTAAGTTATTAAAAATAATATTATAAATAATAATTTAAATAAAATTTTTAAATTATATTAATTTATTTTATTATTAATAGATTATATTTGGCTGCGCAAGAATCTCCATGCAAATTTCAGCAAAGTAATAAATTATGTGAAGGAAAACCAATATTACATCGTTTAATTCGACAAAATTCTTCAGAATCTACATATTTTATTGGATGCGCAAGTTGGAAATTTAATGAAAAAAATCATAGATTTATACGTATTCCTTCTAATATAAATATAGAGCTTTTATCTAATTTATTTAATGGCATATATGAAGTAATTATATTAATTAATATAGTTGCTTTATTTTAAATATCTATATATTATTATTAATATTTTATATATATAATTTAATTTATATATTAATATAATTATAGGCAGAAGATAATCAAATTCAACCTATAAATAAATGCTATACAGTTCTTTCTAATTCTTCAAAGAAAAAATATTGTGGTAATATAAATTAATTATTTTCTTATATTTTATAATTTTAAATTATATTTTTTTTGTTTTATAGCACATGCACACCAAAGTCAAAATACTATTTGCTGTAGTCATATTATTAAAAAAACATGTAAAGTTGAATTTTATAAGATTACATCATTGAATCTTAAGGAGTGCCCATTTATAATTCTTGTATGTAAAGGAATACATATACATCTACCTCCACCACCTGTACGAACACTTATTAATATAAAACAAAGACTTCAAGCTCTTGTTCATAAAGCAAATGAAGATCTATTAGATATCACTCCTACTCATATTGTAACAGATAAAATTTAATTTATATATTATATATAAATTAAAATTATATATTTTAATTTTTATTATTATATGTATTAATTAATATTAAATATTAGAAAATTTAATCAAAACATATTTTGGAGTAGAAAATTTATGTGAAGTTCATGTATCTCTTAATGATACTAATAAATTACATTATTGTATAAAAAGAAAAACATTTATTTGGTCAAGACTTACTAGGAGTAACTTATAATTTTTCACGTAATATTAATAATTTTCGAGATTATGTTCAATGAATAAGTAAGTAGTTTAACTTATTAAAATTTATTATTTTAAAATATATTTTTATATTAATAATAATTAAACTATTATAATAGATATTTTTAACGATAGTCATATAATGATTACATGTACAACACAAATTCAAGTACAAAAATGGATTCAATGCAATTATTTTGAAATTGATTTATCATTTAAACGAGTTGTTAGTAAAATGAATGAATTTGAAATAAATTATTATAATAAGGCTATAAATACAAGTATATTTATTATATAAAGTTTATTTTATTTAAATTAATATTATAAAATTAAATATTAACTAAATGTAAATTCTAAAATTTTTAGTTTTAACATTTGCTAGAATATTTACTAATCAGGTTACTATTACTGCATATAAGTGAATGTTTGAAACTCTTTTTGATCTAGTTAAATTTTTTACTGGACAGCCATCAAAATTTAAACATATTCATGAAAGTGGTTGGAATTGTATAGTTGGTGATTTGGATATTGCACAAATAATTAGATTAGGTGAAACATTAGCTTTAATAGATAGTTTATATAGTTGGGAAGAACATTTAATATATATTTATAAATTATGTCAAGTTCATTTTAAAAGGTAAATTATTATTATTATTTAGTATTATATAAAGTATTTTTAAAAATAGCATGCTATTAAATTTTGAATAATATTTAAAAAATATAACTAAATTTGAGTATTACAAAAAAAACTTGTTTATCTAATAAGAATTACAAAATTTTTTTGCGATACTCTGTACTTAGTTTTATTACTTGTATTTTTATAATATTAATATATTTATATTATTTATTTATAGAAAATTATTCAAAAAAAAATTTACGCCTGAAATTAAAATAGAAATGGAATCTTTATTAACAACAACCACAGAAAATATAGACAATATTTTTAATAAATTAATATTAAATAAAGATATTATTGGTAAATATATATATATAATTAAAAAATTAAATAGATAATACATATTAAAAAAAATAAATCTCAATTTTTTAAATAGATTGGGTTCAATTTTATCAAAAACCTTATATTATCACATCTCTTAATCCAAATATTTCAAATATTTCATATAATGATTGGCATGCAGCACCTAATAGCACAAATTGTGCTGAAGCAGTACACTCTATGAGCAATTGTGAAGGAAAGCAGCTTAAATTAATGATAGCAATATTGAGGTTATTATTTTTTTATTTTTTAATTTTTTTAAAATAATAATAATAATAATAATAATAAAATTTTTAAATTTTAGAGGTCAAAAGTTAGATATGCGATACTTCAAAAGAATTGAAATTAAAAAAAACTATAATATTAATCTTAGTGGACATGATAAAAGTGGTATTAAGCAAAAGATTTTAGCTATTAAACGAAGCAGTAAGTAATTCTTTAATTAACTTAATAACTTAATTTTTTTAACTTTATAATTATTTAATTTATAGTTCGCAAGCAATTTAAAACTAATACTTCAAAAAAAAAAAGTTCTATAAAAACTTCTAAAAACAAACAACCACAAAGATTAATAGAAAGTAATTCTGATAAAAATGATCCTCCTTCAAATATAAATAATGAATTGGTAATGACACCAATAGAAAAACTGGAATATGAAGAATGCATGCTTTTAATTGAAGAAAGAAAAGAAAAATTAAGATAATTACGAATTGCTAATACAATTAAAGAGCGTGAATATGGACTTGAACAAGAATAATAGAACTTGAATTAATAGTCTATTAAATAATAAAAATTTGTATTTGCATTAAATTATTAATATTAAATATGTTTAATATTTATTTGCTATTAAATATATATGTAATTTGTTTTGAGTTTAACGATAATAATAAATATTTATATAATAAATAAGTAAAGTGATATTGTTATCCGGCTAAGCCACGTGACACGGCTACTCCAAATTAGGGTGACCCGGCCCACTTAGTCTATTTCGGCT